CAGGACGTAACCACCCCTTCAATAGCTTAAACCCCCACCTTTCCTTACCCAGCCTGACAATATGTCCCACCCATCGTAGTTGACGTAGAACAATAGATATATGCACGGGGTCGAGGCCGAGACGACGACGAAAGTCTTGCAACGTAAGCTGGTTAGTGTGCATTTCCCGCCGTTTTGTGGCCGCGGCTTCCATCAGGACCTGATTGTGGAAGTTTTTGATCTGCTTCATATCCGAGTAATTCACTGAAGGTGCTTCCATTCCATAGAAAAGAGAAGATTCCACCGTGGCCTTCAACACGCGGCCCCGGTCCCTGTCCGACAGCCCCAAAGGGGGAAGTTGCTTCAAGACTTTGGCAAAGATCCACCTGGCAGCCTGGATTCTCTTGCCGGTATCAATGTTGTGTTTGCCCGTGGATTCCAGCCATCCGCCGAGCAATTTGATCGCTTCCTCGTAGGTCTGGGCCAGAGGAAGAGGATCCTTTCGAGCTTGTTTACCCCGAAGTCGACGTTGTACTGGATATGTCCTTTATCCTACTGTAAGTCATTCCAATTTTCCCATATGGACTTTTTCACCCCATTACTGCATGAGGCGTTGCGCGGCTTGCTCAACTTGTGCTAGCACGGGCTGGCGACAAAACAACGACGTGTCATCGGCGAAAAGCAGGTCGACGAGCCTCTCGGTCACCTTAGGGATCCTGGGGGGGCCCCGACGTTGACGGCGGCCTTTTAACTGCTCCAGACTCCACCCAATGTTCACACCCATGTCCTCCCCGAACATGTCTAACAGCTGCGGAGTGGTAGATGTTGAAGCACACAGGACTACTAGGGCCCCCTTCCCTGAATCCTTTCTCCAGCTCGAAGTTCCTAGACTCCCCCTCCGCCGTGCGGACGCGGTACTTGCAACTGCCGTGCAACCCCTGAATCAACTGGCGCAGGTTCTCTGGGGCACCGGCCCTCTGAAACGCAACATCCGCAGCAGCGCGAGGAACAGACGGATATGCTTTTTCAATGTCCAGAAGCAGCAACACGAGGGCCGGGGCGACCTGGGCCTTGACCCCCCCCCACCTCTGCGGCCATCTCTAGGACGCATCTGGCAATGAACAACGGGCCCATGGTGCTCCTCTCGCCTCTGAACCCCCATTGTGTTTCTGGAAAAAAAGGCCCCGGGCTTCAGCATGTGTTTGTAATCTGTCTGGGGCGATCTTGCTCAGCAGCCTAACAAGGACGCTCATGAGCCAAAGGGTCCGATAGTTTCCCAGATTGCCCCGGCCCCCTTTCTTGAAGAGCCTGAAGCCAACCGCGTCAGCCACTTCAGCTGGCCATTCCCCCGGCGGCAAGTCCCAAAGATACCGCGCTGAACGTGCCAGAAGATTTTGTCCCCGAGGTCCCAACACCTTGAACAAGCCCACGCTGATTTCGTCTGACCCAGCCGCGCTTTCTTTCACATTCTCAGAGCCCGAAGAACTTCCTCAGCAGACGGGGCATTCCCTAGCGTAGGGTCGACGTTAACATCGGGGCAGCCTCGCGCTATAGTCTCCTCTGTGACCGCGGCCGGGTTCGAACCAAGCGTCTCCAGGAAGTCTGCGATCTGTTCCAACGTATGCGGTTCCTCCCCCCGTTTACTCCTTCCCCGTACATGGATACTAAGTTTGGGTAGTAACGCGTAAAAGGCATGGAGATCTCCATGATTCATTGCATTAGTAATTTCCCCGCATAGTTGTCCTACGTATTTAGATCTAGCTCGCCTTTTGAATTGCTCCCACTTTCTCTTGGCCTGGCGGAACTGGGTGCGAGCAGGCACCTCTGCGGCCGCGCGTCGACTTGCCGCAATGGTCCGCCAAGCCTTTTCCATCTCAGCCCGGAGGTCGGCAATTCGGGCTGCATCCTCGTCCGTGTACGGCGCCCCAAAGCTCGGCTGAAGACGTCCCCTCCCCACCACATCCGTAGCCACTTCCTGGATACATCCACGTAGGACAGACCAGGGGTCCGGAGCCTGGGATGAGGAAGAAGATGAGGAAGAAGAGGGTCGATCCAGAGGTAGGTCTGGGAGTTTTTCTTCGACTCGTCGTTGTACAAGTCGGCCTCGCATCGATGTGGTTGCGCTCTTTCCCCAAAGAAGACCCACATTGAGTTTCTTTTGCTGTGTCTCCAGTTTCTGTTTTTTGTGGCACTCGATCGCAATGAATTTGGCTCGTCGCTGTCGTCGTTTTGCCCTCGCCGAGACAGTGCCCAGATGTAGGCGATAAACACGTGCTACATGGCCCGAGATTCGATGTCGATTATGTTGTCGGATGTGTTGAATGCATCTGCTATGCGTGGTCGAAATCAATAGCCCGTCCAACTCGTACCACTGATGAGTCTGAGGGTGAATCCACGTGCCTCTCTGGGACAGAGAAAGAAAACTATCTGCATGTGCCAGCGACGTCGATTGGAGTAGAGATTGCCATTTTTTCCTGCCGGGGTTGTGGCCGTACTCAGGGCGCACGGTCCGGAGCGGAGCCCATCGAACTGCCAATCTGCACCGCGATGGGCGTTGAAGTCTCCCCCCCAAAGTTGCACCCCTCCCAAACCACTAACATGCTCATGAAAATGCAATACTGTATCATGCCAGGACTTGAGCTCAGCAGCGCGGGCGCCGGTGGGCCCGTGAAAACTGACCGCGTGTAGCCTCTCGCCCGTCTCGTCCTGGAATAGGGCGGCCACTAAACGATCTCCTTCGCAGTGCCATTGGGCGCCGGCTCGGTCAAAAGCCCCCCGTGCCGCCGGGCCCAGAAGTAGCGCTGCTCTTCCACTGGGCACCAAGAGAAATTCTTCCAAGTAAACGAAGCAAGGGGCCTCACCATGAAGTTCTGAGAGAAAAGCAATATCCCGACGCTCCAACCGCGCTGAAGTGAGAATATGGGCCAGCTTATCTCGATGTGCGATCAGCCGCCAATTTAACCCTTGGACGTTCTGTACAGCCGCCCTCCAGCTATCTGAAAAAGTGCGAGATGGTGGAGCCTGTCGTCGACCACGGTGGCGTAGACGATTGGCACGGCGCCGAGTGAATGAAATCTGCCCCAGTTTGAAGTGCAATCACAATGCTCGACGTCCACCTTGCTTGCGCCCAACTACCGGGAATTCATTGTGCCGCAAAGGGCGGGGTCCATCGAGGTCCCGGCGAAACACTCGGTGAACCCTGTATGCCTCCATGGCGGAGGCGCCGGGGCAAATCTTAGCCTCGCCCCAGAACTCTCGCCCCCCTGGGGCGGCGTCAAAACAAAGAGTAGGGGGGCGCCGCCTTCGCGCTGGAATCTGGCCATGATCTTGGCGGGGCCCCGCGCTGAGGGGCACGGGGGCGGGATGTCACTTCCAGGGGCCAGATGCGATGCAGCTTCGCCGAAAAAAAGGGGAGAGAACGATACTTGGTTTGCACGGGTAGGGTATGCAAGATTCGACCAAGTGACCCCTAGCGACCTTCGAGAGCAGGGAGCTCCGCGCGTGGCAGCGACAACTTGGGACGAGGACCCCCTCCGGACGCTCCAAGAGCGCTGCGCGAGGAGGGGGGGGGGGGGGCAAGATGAAGACGAGGATTGCAACGGACCGCCGCCGACAACGGAGGCTGCGAACGACGGCGCGAGCAATAAAAGCCGGGGGCCACGGCGCAGCCACGGCGGCCCCCAAGACGCGCGCGATGCTGATGATGACGAACGAAGTGCAGTGACTCAAGACGTGAACGCCCGCCGCCCTGCAATGCCGGGGCATGGCCTCGGATGATCAGTACTATCCGCGCTGCAAGATATAGAAGCCGACGTTGCGATGGAAGCACTTGGTGCCAGGAATAATGCAGCGAAGTGGTGCGCGAAGAGGATGATAATGATGATGACGATGATGATGCTGATGCTGGCGAAGATGGTGATGCTGAGGATTATGACAGTGATGCTGATGATGCTGATAATGACGATGGTGATGATTCTGAAACTGATGATCTTGATGTCGGCGATGATGGTGCTGTTGATGATTATAATGATTATGAGGTTGATGATGGTGATGACAGTTGCGATGGCGATGACGAGGATGACGATGTTGTTCATGGTGATGACGATGCTGAGGCTGATGATGATGATGTAGATGCTGATGACGACGATGCTGCTGCTGCGGGTGATGACGATCATGATGGTCATGCTGCTGCTGCTGCTGATGATGCCGATGGTGATCGCGATCCACGCGTATGAAGAGGTCAGGAGCTCCTAGCTCGCACTGCCCCTCGGACCGGAGCGCCCCCCTCTGGTACTGCGGCGGCAAAGCTCGGCCTTGCGCGCCTCAGCGCACCCTCGCGGATCCACCTGGGTGCCAAGAGGCCGCCCATCAGCCCGGCCGAAGCAAGCGGTAGTACGGCGCCCGAACAGCCACGGCGACTCAGCCCGCTACAGCAGCGCACGCGCGCAAAAGCAGAGCAACGCAGTCCCCGTGGCCCCTGGCCGCCCGCTGGACAACCTTGCTCTGCGACGGCGTACGGAGGCGATCCAGAGTGTCAGTGACAAGCCGCCTGCCCCCTCGGTTCGGCCTCCGCCCTGGCGCGAGAACAGTGCACAAGACAGGCGGGCTGGTACGCGGCAAAGCTGCATAACGCAAGCGCCGCACGACGTGCTAAGCGGCGCGGACAGAGCAGCGCAGCGAGCCCAGGAGGGGCAGGAGTGAGTGAACCCCGGCGCGCGCCGAGCCCCGAGGGGCACGGCCTACGGCGCGGGCCCCCCCCCCCCCCCCCCTTGAAGATCGCAAGCTCGTCGCAGGCAGTCGTGATCCTCGGGCCCGCCTGGCGCCGCGAGCGCGCGGCGCCGCGCCCGGCGGGCCGACGGGCCCCGAGCCGCAGGGCGCCACAACTACGTGAAGGAAGATGCCGCGCGAGCGCGGCAGAAGAAATGTGAGAAAGTTGTCGGGGCAGATCGCGCCCGCCAGCGCCCGCCGCGCGCCTCGCGGGCCGCGCGCAGCTCGGCGCCCCAAGCGGCGCGAACCCTAGCAAGCAGCCCGTTGCATCTGGCCCGCAGCGCCACGAGCTCCGCCTGCTCCGAAGGGAACTGCCGCTGCTCCTCGGTTTGCTTGGAGTCGCGCTGCTGGTCGACGTCGGACTGCTGCTCGCAGACCGCCCGGGCGCCCACGCGCATCGGCGTCGCGGCGAGAGCGGGCTCCGATGCAGCTTCGTCGTCCTGGACCTCACTCCAGCTCCTGGACCCGCTGGGGGCCCGCCCGCGCGCGCCCCTCCTCGAAGTGCACCTCCCTCGCGGGGCCCGCGGAGTCGATCCCGACCTTCTCCTGGAGGCCCTGCTGCGCAGCAGCTGGCTGCATGCGCCCGCCGCGCCTAACAGCGTACCCCGACGGGTCGCTGCCAAGAGGCTCATCGTCTGCAGCCTCATCATCATCGGCCGAGTCCCTCTCGCACTCCACCCCCGTCACCGCCGCGGTCGGCGGGCGGGCGCCGGGTGCCTTCGGGTCGCCGCCCCGCCCGAGCTCCTCGAGCCTCCGACCGCCCGCGATCCGCCAGGACGAAGGCAACGCCGCGGGTCGTGGCCCTCCCCCGCCTCGCAGCCGTTCTCCATGCTGCGCGCGTGGCGGGCTCGGCTGCCTCCGTCGCCTTGAGTGCCCGTGCGCTCGCCGGTACGGCGGCCGACGCCGTCGGTCCTTCCCGCATGGGCCGGCGGCCGCGCCTCCGCCTCCGCCTGACCGACGCTGGTTTGGCGGGGTTCGACGCCGCGCCAACGCCACCGCCCAGGTTCGCGCCCGTTCACGTCTCGTACTCACCCTCGTCCTGCGCATCGCTCGGCACGTCGTGCTGGGTGCCGAGGGGCGCCTGCACCTCGCCCGAGCTGGGACCGTCCTCGCCCGTGCAGGCGTCGCCGAGGGTGTCGACGTCGACGTGCCTGGAATCATCGCCCTGCGCTCCGTCGCCAGCGCACTCGCCGAGCTTGGGCTTGGACTCGAACCTGACCTCATCGGGCCCGCGATCGCTGTCGTAGCCCTCGAGCTCGTCGTCGCCGCCGCCGTACTTGATCTCGTACTGGTTGTGCACGTGCTGCTGCTCGTCCGCGTGCTGTTGGTGCCCGTCATCGTCGTTCTTCGCATCGCCGTTGTAGCCGCACTCGTTTGTGGGCGGCGCCATGCTGCGGCGCCTCGCCTCCAGGCTGGGTCGCCATCCCGCCTCAGGGGGAGGACGGCTGAGAGCCCCCAGATCCGTTGGGACGAGGGCGCCAGACCGCCCACGGCGCTGGCTGGCCTGCGGCCGCTCGAGCGCGGCCTCGAGGACGTCGGCGCCTTCACCGAGGAAGTCGTGGGCCCCGAGGTTCCGAATCGCCCGCCCGGCGCCCGAAGCCCTCTCGCCGCGGATCAGGCGCGCCAGGGCTGGCCTGATGGCCCGAAGCCGCAGGGCGAGCTCGGCGTCCTCCTCATCGCCAGCTCCATCTGCAGCCCAGCCCCCGATCAGCTCAGCACCGACGCGCGCCGCGGCGGCCACGGCGGCCGCGATGCCGTGCCTCGCAGCGCCCCCCGCTGCCGCGCCTTCGGCTGCCGCTCGAACCAGCGGCGCCAGGGCGGCAGCAGCGTCCAGCGCCGCGACTGCCATGAATGCCCGAACAGCGCGGGGCTCGAACGGGCCAACTAAGGAGGAAATAGCCCGAACAACGCGAAGCTCGAACGGGGAAACCGCTGCCACACCGGCGTGGCTCCTTGAGCCAAAATGGCTACGGATGATGATGATGATGATGATGATGATGATGATGATGATGATGATGATGATGATGATGATGATGATGATGATGATGATGATGATGATGATGATGATGATGATGATGATGACGATGACGATAACGATGGCGATGGCGATGGCGATGGCGATGGCGATGGCGATGGCGATGACGATGACGATGACGATGACGATGACGATGACGATGACGATGACGATGACGATGACGATGACGATGACGATGACGATGACGATGACGATGACGATGACGATGACGATGACGATGACGATGACGATGACGATGACGATGACGATGACGATGACGATGACGATGACGATGACGATGACGATGATGATGATGATGATGATGATGATGATGATGATGATGATGATGATGCGGAGAACGGGGGACGACAGAGCAGGACGGAGCAGGACGGAGGAGGAGGAGGAGGACGAGGACGGAGAAGGAGGACGACGGAGTTGGACGGAGCAGGACGGAGGAGAAGGAGGACGGACGAGGACGGAGGAGGAGGGAAGAGGGGGAGGAGGGACGAGGGGAGAGGAGAGAAGGCGGAGCGGCATCTCGTTACGACGAGCAGCTCCTCCGAGAAGCCGCGGCGGCGGTGGGCGGCATCCTTCACGGGGAGGCCCTCCCACGGGCACGCTCGGCAGGCCGCCCTCAACCTCGCGACGGGGAGCCTCCTCGAGGAGCGGGACCGGGGCCTCCTGGACCGGGCCCGACGCATCTGACGGGGCCCTGCGACACAAAAATGAATGCACACAACTAACAGGATTCCCCATATTTGCAAATATTTTCTGGGTTTTTGTCTCCCCCCCCACTTCCCATATTTTCCCATATTTTCCTGGGAGTCGACGATTCATTGTGTCTGTGTTTTTTCCCCTCCTGAGGGACCGGGGCCTCCTGGACAGGGCCCGGAGAGATGGAGTCGGAGGATCCCGACGCATCGCAGGGTGCATCGGCGATGCGGCTCAACGTGGTGACCGACTTTCTCCGCGCCGACTTCAGCGATGCACCGCAAGCGACGCCGACGCATCGGCGATGCACTCGGCGATGCATGCGGGGATGTCATCGCGATGCGGCGCGAGCCTTCGACCCCATCTACTCGGACCACATCTCGGAGGCCTGATTTGACAGGTCGGCGATGGCGCCGTCGACAAATACGACGATGACGTCGACGAGAGTCGGGCTTGGGGGTCGGAGCTCGGGCCTGCAGCAACCCGTCGACACGATCTGGGAACCCCTGGAAACGTCCCCCGGCGAAGCGTCTGGGCTGCCAGAGAGGACCCCGACGCCAGGAGGACGACGACGGCGCCGACGCCGGCGACGACGACCGAACCAGCGCGGGAGCGGCGCGAGCGCCTCAACGCGGGCGGCGGCGAAGGGGGTCGGCTGCGCGCTCGCCGCCCCAGCCGGCAGGCGCCCCAGCGCGGGGCCTGGCTGCTCCTGGCTCCTTCCTGCCTGAGGCGCTGAGGTTTTGGCGTGATTCCCCATGTCCTGAGACGGGGCTCCTGTTGTACTGGTCCCGCCGTCCCCCTTCCAGACTTCCGTCTCGATCGTGCTCAGACTCGCTGGCGCCCATGCCCACTCATAACAATCTGACGCACTCGCACGCCGACCCTCTCGCACTCAAAGTCACTCGTACTCAGACGCACTCATACTTAGACACCCTCGCACTCTGACTCAATCACACTCGTACTCAGCCGCGCCCAGGCCACACACACACACTCAGCGTCGCTGATACGCCGACTCGCCCATACTAAAACCACCCACGCTCACATCCAACTGTATATACGCAGCTGGGTCATGGCCACACTCATACACACAGACAACCTACACTCATAGCGTTCACACCCAGGACTCATGAATATATCGGGAACCATTCATCCCACTCAGACTCAAACGCAGACGGCATGTCATGCTCAGACCCGCTCATGCCATGACTCACGAATGCCCACAAAGCCAATGATCACCGCGATTTAGCACATGGGTGCCTGTCAGGCACCCCAAGGGGAAACGCCTGCAAAGTATATCACTGGCGCGCTCGCGCTCGAATTGTGCGGTTATTGTCAACGATGCGCGTGGATGAACAAAAGGGTGGGTCTTCTCTTGTACCATGACAGCCTCACGTTGGCACCTCTCACGCATTTCGTGCATCATGGGTGCTCGGCTGCCTCTCAAAACTGTTCCTTGGATACGAAGAATCGCGTCAGCGTGTCCACTCAGACGGTTGATGCCTTTTGTATCACACTAGGCACTGCAACCAAAACGGTTGTGGATCGCACAGACGCAGACGCAGACGCAGACGCGCGAGTCCGCCGGCCGGCGTGCCGGCAGGCCCTTTCGCGGGCCGTTCGCACAGGTGGCGAACGGCCCGCGAAACTGGTGACGGGCCTGTGCCGCCCGTCACAGCCTGCTGCTGTGAGCTGCATGCGTAAGCTCGGTTTGCTACCAATGTCTTCGGGCCTCCCGAACTGCCCTCTGCGGCCATCGCTTCAACAATGCGTTTACCGCTCGCGCCCGCGCGCAAGAGCGAGGGAAAAAGCCTTTCCCTTGCAGCGCGCAAGCAGCACGGCACGCACGTTGGATATGGATGCGGCGTCCTCGGCGCCAGCTGGAATCATTCACCTGGGGCAGACCCTGAAAATAATGCCTTTGTTCCATCGCCTTGGGACTTCAAGTGGCCACGATGAATGCCTCTCTTGTCGCGCTCTTCACGAAGGTTGGCAGCTGACCACTCCCAGTGCGCACCGATGAGAGCAATCTGCGCGTGACAACATACGATGTTGCTGGCCGTCTATTCTTCCTGCGGCCCAGCGTCGCCGAAGCATGGCCACAACCCTTCGCGAACCGCGCAAGTGCCTGGGGAATGCGGTGCGCGACCAGACAGACGACGATCACGATGACTTGCAGCGCCCATTCTATCGCCATCATCAACATGCTCACGACGTGGTCAACCCCTGCCGTCGACTTCGGGACCTTCGGCTGCTCGGTGGCATGCATATCGGCTCGGTTGTCATCCGTGCTTTGCTTAGCCAGCTATCTGATTCGATGCCGACATTTCCCTTGGACGCGCATATACTTGGTCTCCGAGTGTCGTGCTCGCCCACGGCCCATCCGCGAAGCGATGCCTGTCGCCCCCGGCACCCACCTGCAGCGTCTCCTCGAAGCCAGGTCACCGGGCGCGCTCTCCTGCCAGACCCTGATGGCTGATCCGCGCACGACCCCCGAGAAATCAGCCTTTGCGCTGCCCGGCGCGCGGCCGCCCTGCCGCGCGCCCCAGCCGTCGGCCCGGCGCGCCCCCCCCCCGCGGCCCGACGCCGTCATTCACCGACTCGCGGCCAGGTTCCGATTCGCAATCACTGTCGACCTCCGCCCCTGTCGCCCTGGGCACCCCCTGAATTCGAAGAACAAATCGCGTTGTGCATTCCGCTTGAGATAGTTGGCCAGCCGCTGCAAAAGTAGCCGATGATGCCACGCAGTGGGCTGTCATCCCCCTAGCGAGGCATCCCGCGGCCAGCTGAATCTCGGAGAGGTCGCGCGCCGCGCGCTGAGCCGTCGGCGCCGCGCCCCAATGGGCGACCGCGCGGTCTGCCGAGAGAATGTCTGCTAACCCCCCGCAGTCCAGCAGCTCGCGCCCCGCGGCGAAGGCGCGCCTGACCTGCAACTTTGGCTTTGACGACGCCTCCTTTCTCCATCGCCTCCATGGTCAATTTTGAAAAAACGGCGCCCTCCTCGCGCCGTTGAACGCCCGACTTAGCGGGTAGACGACGCGCTCTTGCCCCCGAGAGGAGGCGCCGCGCGCGTGCCCTCGTCGATCCACGCGCGGAAGATAGCGAAATAACCACAAGAGGTAGCCAGCGGACATCTAGCGGGGCCCTAAACCCCAACGCGAGCGGACACGGCTTGCCCGCCGCCGCGGGGGATCTGCATTCGCCCGCGCGGAACGCTCGCTAATCTGCATCCGCATCGATCTCAAACAGAGTTGGTCGCAGCCCGTCACGAGGCGCGCGCGCGCCGATCGAGAGGCGCCATTGAATGTCCACGATGCGGGGCGGGGCGCTCCGTGGGATCTGATCCTCGTTCGCTGTGTTCACGGCGTCTATTCGGTGCATCATCCACGCGGGTTCTGAACTCGTCGCGCGCGATGTCTCTGTTCGCGCTCATTTTCCACGCGGGTCTGCGATCGCGGCCGCAGCTGCGACCCGGGGGGGGGGGCCTCGAACCCCGGCGGGCCCTCCAAATCTGCACTGCGTCCGCGCACTCTGTTCCCGCGCGGCCCCCCCCGGGGCCGCGGGCGGGGCCCCCGAAGGGCCCCGGGGTGCGCGGGGGGGCGGCGCGGGGCATTGCCAATTCATTTTCGCTGCACTCTCTGGATCGCCCTGCCTGCCCCGACGGCGCCATCTCGCGCGAGCCGCAGATCCATCGGGCAAGAGCTGCCCAGGGCGCGCAACAGCGCGCGCAATGAAGTGCGTCGATCGATTTTTCATCTTCCGACCGCAGAACGCCGCCCCGCCAGACTCGCGCACGCGAGTCACTTGCAGCCACTGCAGAAGCACAAGACGTTGCCGCCGACAACTGCCCATTGCCTGACAGCGCCAGCCGGGGCGCGGCCAACGGCGAGCGCCCGCGCGAGCGTCGCCCTGCGCGTCCAAGGGGCGACCTGCATGGCGACGGAATGCAAACGGATCGACTCGGCGCCGTTCTCGTCGCGCCCCCCGTCCTCGACCCAATCCCCCTTCGCGCGCCCCCTTTGGCGGGGTTTCCCGGAATCTGGTCGACGACCTGGCGCCCCTCCATTAGGCGCCCCTCCTTGTCGCGGCCTATCTTCGCCGGCGTCGGGCCCAGCTTCCGCCCCGACCTCGCCCCGCGCGCTTCCTGGTCGGAGGCCTCCTGGCTGAAACAAGCGGTCAAGAGCTCCGTCGCGACCGCGTCGATCGGGACAGGGTCGCAGACTGCGGCGAGGAGGGCCGCTGCCACGTTCGCAAAGAATCCAGCGATCGTCTTCCGCTTGGCCCTGGAGCTCAGCCCTAGAGCCCCGCGGTCCCAGATGGTCTCGATCGCGCCCAGCCCCCGTCGCGCCCAGCGCGCCCCCGGGCGCTGGCCCGACGACCGATCGCCCCCCACGGCGGCGGTCCGTCGTCTCGGGCGGGGGGGGCGAGCCTGGGGCGCCCGCTCGGCCGCCGGCGGTGCTGGGGGCGCCGCTTCTGCTGGAGGCGTTCCAGGCGCCGCCGCGGCGGCGCCGGCGGCTGCTCGCGAGGCACCCCCTTGCCTCTCCTTCCCCCCCTTGACTTCCGCCAAGCTCTCGACGCAAGCCCCGCAGACCGCTGCGCGTGGATGTCCAAGCCTGCCGCGCTCGTCGCAACCAAAAGCCGGGCCCAGCCTGTCGAAGGCGGCGTCGGCGAAGCACCTGCGCCCCGCGACGGGGTCGGAAGTGCCTGCCCGAGCGCCCGTGCCACGCGACTTGCACTCGATCGCGATGAATGGTCTCTTCGGCCCGCGCTGTTTCTCAACCTTCCTCGCAATGGTCCCGGTCGTCGTTTTTCCCGAAACCGCTGCGGAGATCCGCTCATCCGCGCGGATGTCCTTGCCTGCCCTGGTGGCCTGTCCCCGCCTCAGCTCGGCCCCATTGCGTGAGACGTTTTGAAAATTACAGATCGCAACGTCGGCAAAATCGCAAGTCGCTCCGCCGCGCGAGCGACCCCTCAGGTACCGTCGCGGCGCCAAATCGTCGTCCTTCACGGGATCTCGCGGCGAGGTCCACCCAGGATGCCGAACCTTCCAACCGACCACCCAGTGGTCGAGCGTAAGCTTCACCTCGTGCCGCGATTCGACCGAGGCCCGCAGCGCGAGGGATATACCTTCGACCACGTTGTCGGCGATCTCGGTGGTCCCCTTGCTCTTGGGATCGTGCCGTTGTCCGCAGCGGGGCGTCGTCTCTCCTCCTGGCTCCCGAGCTGGACCGCTCGCGCCAGTGCAAAGAATGCGGGCTCGCGATCGGCCCCCAACTGACGCGGCCGATGCTGCAGATACGCGAAGCCGCGAAGGCCAGGCTCACGGCGTGGATTTGTTGGACCTCTTCGTCGCTATCTGGCCGCGCTCGATCGCCGAAACGATGTTCAGAAGTGCCGAAGGATCCCTCTCAACCTTGTCGAGACTTCGACAAACAAGCTGTCGAAGAAGACGAGAATGATGGGCCTCGTCGGGTCGCGGACGCGATTGCGTGCATCTTCCTGTCCTCGTCCCATGAGGCAGAATAAGAAGCGGTCTCGACACGGCCCATGTGACTCGATCTGGTATCGCGGGAACGCCTCTGGCTTCGGCTGCCGCAGCCTTGCATGAGACGTGTATTAAGATCCGTCGCGTCGCTGCCGCCACACCCCCTTTCGCTGCTCATCTGCTTGGCCAGGCTGATGTGTCCAGCCGCTGGTGGCGGAGGCGGTGGCGGCGCCAACGAACTCGATGCCGCTGCACCCGCTCCTGGCGCTCCCTCCTCAAGAGGGGCCTGGCGGGATGCTGCCCGAGGCTCCGCACTCGGCTGGGTTGGCGGCAAAGTCTGGATCGGCTCGGCGGAGTTCTCGACTGGTCTTCTGGTCATCGGCCAGGTCTTCCCCCCAAATGGCCGTGGCCGCAGAGGGCTACAGAATGGCCCCCGCGCCCAGCCGAGACGAAGACGAGGGCGAGGACCAACTCGGGGCCTCCGCTGGAGACCGCAACGGGAGCAACGACGGGCCCCGGCTGCTGGCCGCGAGAGATAGACGTACACCAGGAGAAGACACGACACGCGGCACCAGCCCAGGGAGGGGAGGGAGGAGGAGGAGGAGGAGGAGGCGGAGGAGGAGGAGGAGGAGGAGGAGGAGGAGGAGGACGAGGAGGAGGAGGAGGAGGAGGACGAGGAGCACGGGGAGGGGTAACAGGAGGACGGGGAGGAGGAGGCGGAGGAGGAACATCGGCCCGGAGTCGGCGACACATCAGCGGCACGACAGCAACGTGGACAGGCGACAGGCCCTGGAAAGCAGCACCCCAGGCTCCTGGGCGGGGCGGGCCCGCGGGTCCCCATCCCCCCCCTAGCGCTGCCACTGAACCCAGAAGGAAAACTCGCGGGAGAGAGGTCCCGTGCCCTGGGGTTTCTCTCAAGCCCTGTGGCCTTCCTTGGGACGTGCCAGGCAGCACCCGAGGCCAGGGAGCCTTGGGGCCAGCCACGGCGGGACCCACGACGACAACCACCACCACGACCACAACCACGACCACGACGACAATCCGATACAGCTTCTCCGCTTCCCCCCCCTCCCCCTCTTCCTCCTCCCCCTCTTCCTCCTCGTCCTCCTCCTCCTCCTCCTCCTCCTCCTCCTCCCTCCTCCTCCTCCTCCTCCTCCTCCTCCCCCTCCCCTCCTCCACAATTACTCAATATGAATATACTCTCCCTCTTCCCCTGATGGCGTCCGGGTGATAGCCGCGCACCCTCCGCGTACTGTTTTTTTAACACACAGGATGCCCGGAAAATCCCGGGAAACGACTCTCGTTGAGGCGCCGGCGTCATTTTTCCCAAAATGCTGCTCTCGCGCCGGCGTCATTTTTTCCCAAAATGCTGCTCTCGTTGAGGCGCCGGCCTCATTTCTGCTCCCGAATCCTTCCCCTGATGGCGTCCGGGTGATAGCCGCGCACCCTCCGCGTACTGTTTTTTTACACACAGGATGCCCGGAAAATCCCGGGAAACGACTCTCGCTGAGGCGCCGGCGTCATTTTTTCCCAAAATGCTGCTCTCGTTGAGGCGCCGGCCTCATTTCTGCTCCCGAATCGTTCCGAATCGTGCTCCCGCTGCAGCGTGGGCCTCATTTTCGGATCGGTGTTTGGCCTCCGTCGTTCAGGATGGCGTTCTCGCCCCAGCGCGGGCCTCTTTCTCGCGCGCCCATCCGCCCGCCACCACCGCGCCGCACCGCCACCACCACCACCACCACCACCACCACCACCACCACCACCAGCACCAGCACCAGTACCAACACCACCACCACCAGCACCACCACCACCACCACCACACCACCACCACCACCACCACCACCACCACCACCACGACAACCACGCACACACGCACGCACGCACGCACGTGCACCACCACCCACTACGCACGCGCGCGCGGAGCCACAGGTCCGCTACGACACGCGTCCGCGGATAGAGAAAATCAGCGCCATGGTAAGGGATGGGAGGGAGGGGTAGGACGTCAGATATGACGCGAGCGCACCTAGCTTGCCTCTCCCTCCTCCTCGTCCTCCTCCCCCTCCCCCTCCCCTCCTCCCTCTCCCCCTCCTCCTCCTCCCCCTCCCCCCCTCCCCATCCTCCTCCTCCTCCTCCTCCTCCTCCTCCTCCTCCTCCTCCTCCTCCTCCTCCTACTCCTCCTCCTCTTCTCCTACTCCTCGTCCTCGTCCTCGTCCTCCTCCTCCTCCTCCTCCTCCTCGTCCTAGTCCTCCTCCTCCTCCTCCTCCTCGTCCTCTTCGCCCTCGCCCTCGCACTCGCCCTCGCCCTCGTCCTCCTCCTCCTCCTCTTCCTCTCCTCGTCCTCGTCCTCCTCCTCCTCCTCGTCCTCGTCCTCCTCCATCTCCTCCTCCTCGTCCTCTTCGCCCTCGCGCCCTCGCCCTGTCCTCGCCCTCGTCCTCCCTCATCCGATACAGCTTCTCCGCTCCCTCCCCCTCCCCCTCTTCCTCCTCCCCCTTCCTCTCCTCGTCCTCTCCTCTCCTCCTCCTCCTCCTCCTCCTCCTCCTCCTCCTCCTCCTCCTCCTCCTCCTCCTCCTCCTCCTCCTCCCCACTGTTGGCCTGGATGCGCGCCCGAGTGCCCAGCGGCCCTGAACTCGGCCTCCATGGGCTGGGCGCCCAGCTCGCGCCCGTGGGCGAAGGGCGCCATGGACCCGTCGCCGAGGTTCTCCAGGAGCACGCGCCCGTCGTGCACGCGCTCGGTGATGAACACCCTGGCCTTCGAGGTCTCCTCGGCGGAAGGAAGAGAAGGGCGAGGAGGCTCCTGCTCCTGCTCCTCCTCCTTCTCCTCCTCCTACTCCTCCGTCTCCTCCTCCTCCCCTCCTCCTCCTTCCCTCCTCCTCCTCCTCCTCCTCTTCCTCCTCCTCCTCCTCCTCCTCCTCCTCCTCCTCCTCCTCTCTCTCATCCTCATCATCATCATCATCATCATCATCATCATCATCATCATCATCATCATCATCATCATCATCATCATCATCATCATCATCATCATCATCATCATCATCATCATCATCATCATCATCATCATCATCATCATCATCATCATCATCATCATCATCAGCAGCAGCAGCAGCAGCAGCAGCAGCATCGACCTCCTTCTCCTCCTTCTCCTTCTCCCATCGTCCCTCCTCCTGATGCTCCTTCATCTCCTCCTCCTCCTCCTCCTCGTGCTGCTGCTGCTCCTTCTCTTCTTCCTCTTCCTCCCGCTCCTCTCGCTCCTCTCGCTCCTCGTGTTCCTCGTGCTCGGGCTCGTGCTCGTGCTCGTGCTGATCCTCCTCCTCCTCCTCCTCCTCCGCCTCCTCCTCCTCCGTTCCCTCCTCTCTCCCTTCTCATGCCTTGACCTCTGCAGTAATCAACTCTTTCCACTATTGAACTTCGTAGGGCAGTCCAGGGGGTTCGCATGAAACTTCCTCCCCATGCATGGTCCTGAAAAATTGAGGCGCTGAGCAGTTACAAAGGATGGATAGGGGGTGTTCAAAATGCGGCTCTCGCCTCAGAGCAGCGCACACTTGCTGTGAAAGTGTGAAGCAAGTGTAAAGGTGGAGAGGGGTCGTTTCACAAGGCGGCTCTCACCTTAGCGACGAGCGTTTTCGTCTGAACAGTGTGCGGCAAATTCAAGGATGGAGGGGGAGCGTTTTCAAAACGCGGCGCTCCTTAGCGCCGCGCGCGCGTCGTCTTAAATGTTCGCAACTCAAAGGTAGAGGGGGGCGTTTCAAAATGTGGTTCCCGCCATCGCGCCGCGCACACTCATCTCAAAGTCGTGCGAAAGATACGAGTATGGCGCACAGGTAGTTTTGAGCATGTGACTCTCGCCTTAGTGCCCTTCGTGCAGCTTCGAGGATGGAATGTAATCATGTTCAAAATGGTGTCCTCACCTATATACCGCACGCATTCGTATTATCTCTTCAACAGATAGAGCGCGGTTCCTCTTCAAAGCTGTGCTCTAGCCTTAGCGACGCTCATATTCTTCTAACGCAACACATGCGAGGTGTTCACACAGGTCGCTTTCAAAACTGCAGCATCGCCTTGTCGCTGCGCACACTCGTTGGCTTTATGCAACGTTGAGAAAGATGGAGAATTGTAGTGTTCAAAATCAAAATTGTGTCAATCACTTGTCCGACATTTCAACACATGTTGCACTGCACGATCAACGGGGTCTCTTTTTCAAAAATGGTTTATCGCGCAAGACTTCCGCGAAGTTCATGACCACAGTTGTAAGCGCGTGCTACAATTACTCGGATGTGGGGCGATCCTTACTCGAAGGGGGTGTGTTGCTGGACACCCGTCTGAACTGTATGATCATAGTTCCTGGCTTTCATGATCATGCGCCAGATGGATGCACGGCAGTTCCTTTTCAAGGCAGGGCCCTCGCCGACATGGCATGCCCAACTGCACTTGTCTTTCAAAGGGGCGCCTCTTGCAATGAAACGAGAAGCTTGTAGGGACCTACCAGGAAGGGATTTGGGACGGGAGGGTGTATTGCAGCATCCCTGATGCATGTTGAGTTTACTCTGGTCCTCCTCCTCCTCCTCCTCCTCCTCCTCCTCCTCCTCCTACTCCTCCTCCTCCCTCCACCTGCAGGAGGATAATGAGGAGATCTCACGCGTGCACACCATCCCCTCCTCCTGGGGAGCCTCCTTGAGGGCTAGCCGAAACCACGGCGGCCCTCCCAGGCATTTCTGCTAGCATCGGGAGTTGCCTCGGCCAGATCTCCCTCGAAAGACCCTGAGATACGAAGCTGCAGAACAAGTGCTGCATCGCAAACAAGATCACGACTGGAGCCCCGGACCAAGTCTCTCTCTGCGCCATTTCCCGACTCGGGGATCTTCTGACCCGGGTCAATCCAGACCCGGGTCAATCAGGCCTGGCAGGATCCTGCATGGATCCTGCAAAATCCTGCACCAAGCCCGGGTCAATGCGAAGGATCCTGCAGGATCCTGCAGGATCCTGCACCCAAACCTGCAGGATCCTGCAAGATCGGGCGCTCTGGCTGACCCCCGTTTGCATTGACCCCCGACTCAAGGCTTCCGACCGACTCGGTCGGGGTCCGAAACCGGGCGGAGGCGCTGGGCCGGGGAAGGGTCCCCAGGGACCCATCCCGTGCGGCCCTGTAGGCCGGGCGGGGGGGCCGTCCACAGCCGTCGGGCCCCCCCGCGGGGCGCGCGGCCACGGCTGGCAGGCGGCCCGAGGGGCTGGCCGGGGGGCGAGCACCAGGAGCGTCGCTTTGAGCGGAGTCCCGCCGGGGTGGCTGCTGGGCAGGCGCGCTCGGAGGGGGAGACTCCCGCAAACTTGTCGCTGCAGCCAGTTGTTGCTTCCGGCGTGCTCGCCCCGCAGCGGGAGCACGTGCACTGGGACTCGGAGCTCAGAGGGGACAGCCCTCACGTGCTCAGAGGGGACCGCTCGAGGACGTGTGTACAAGGGTTTGGTGCTCCGAGGGGGACAGCTCTCACGAGATTTTTCCTGTGGGCGGGGGGGCGGGGCGGCACGCCAAGAAGGCAAAAGGGCCAGGGGGGCCTCCGAAGAGGGCTCCCGGAGGCAGGTCGACCCTGCGAAGTCGCCAGACCAGACCTCCTGCCAATCAGCCACATGAAGGAGGCCCGCGTTGGCGGCCCCTCAAGAGGCAACCCTCCGCCCGCAGAGGCCCCTCTGGGGGGCCCTTCCCGGCAGCCTCTGCTGGCCTTCTGCACAAGGAGCCATTCGCGGGAGGCCCGTGAGGAGGCCTCTGGGAGCCCTTTTCCTGGCGGCCTGTGTCCCCCCACCCCCCCCGCAGATGGTTCTCGATCTGCAAGGGTGCCCGCCAGAGGCATCTGGGAGCTTCTACCTGGGCGCCTCTGCGAACCTGCAGCACAGGGCTCCATGTTCGAGAGTCCTGTACAAGAGGAGTCGGCACAAAAACCCTAACCCTGCGGGAGGGAGTTAGGAGGGCCAAAGACATCAGGGATAGCGGGTTCTGCCTGCAGATGTATCAAGCCAACCCGCCCAGCCTTGTTACCCCTAATGCGAGGACGGGGACCTCGGTGAGGCCACGTCTTCATCGTGTTATTAGGATTAGGGGCTCTTTGGTGCTCGATGAGCAGAGGCATCTCCATGTGCGGGAGGTCCGCAGAGGCCTTGGGGAGCCCTCCCTGGCGGCCTCTGCGGGCCTCCACTGAGATCCGACGTGGCGCAAACATGGCAACATCGCAAACATCAGGACACCACCTGTCTGCGTCATGTCTCGAGCTGGATCGATCTGTGAGGGTCCCGGGGGCCCAAATCGAGCGAAAAGGCTCGGCTCGAAAAAGTTGAGCCGCCAGGGTCTCAGGGTCCTGCAAATGGCTCCATGCGCGGAGAGGCCCGTTGAGGCCTCTGACCCGGGTCAATCCAGACCCGGGTCGGCAGGAAACCAAAAAACTGCAATTCAAGAAAAAAACTGCAACGCAACTCTTCGCAAACCCGGGTCAGCCAATATGCGCGGCCACATCGCGGCTCGCTAACCCGGGTCAGCCAGAGGGGGTCTTCGCAGGATCCTGCAGCTGGTCAGTGCGGGCCTCCGTCAAGTAGCTGGTAGCTCCAACTCCTAACCCTCCTTCTTCTTAATATTATGATTATTGTCATTACAAATATTATTATTAGCATTCGCATCATTATTCTTATTATTATTATTCCTCTGACTCTTCTTATTAGTCTGTTTCTTCTTATTATTTCTATAATGCGTATTGTTGTTGTTCCTTCTCTTCCCCCTTGGCCACGCCAAGAGGTCTCGCAGGCCGCTCGCAGCCCCAGAACAGCAGACAACACGGCAAGCAAACAAGCAACTACTCACAAATAGCCAAAAATCCGCCGATCCGGCGTGTGAACTACAAGGAGCCTCAGCAAGAGCTTCAGCCCTGAGCCTAAATAAGCAAGAGCTTGAGCTCTGCTTGGGGGGGGGGTCACTGTGGTCGCTCTGCCGGGGAAGGGGGGGAAGGGGGGGGGGGCGGTCCCCCATCTGGCGTTTTCTTTATGATTTGCGCATCCAGACCCCCCCCGGGGAAGGGGGGAGGGGGGGGGGCGGTCCCCCATCGGGCGTTTTCTAATGATTTGCGCATCCCCAAAATGTTTCGGGGGGTCCCAGGGACCCCTCTCAAATCTAGTCGCTACCGCCCCCAGGACCCTCCCCTCGGAACCCTCTCCAGACCTCCCTCCGGGACCGCTCCAGGCACCCCCCCAGAGGACAAGAAAAAGGACCGGAAGAATCGAGGAGGGAGGAGGACACAAAGCCGCGAAGACCACCGAAGCCGGAGCCACCCGGATCGGCGGCACTGGCCAGAGGCCATGACAATACAAACAAAAATCGGTCCCACATTATTTTCTGACTGTTATCGAACACTCCTCCTGTAGGGGGACAGGCACGACTTAAAGCTAAAGGTGAAGCGAACAACAAACAAGGCGCGGGAGAGTGGGACACGCAGCCCCGCTCTCGAGCCCCCACCATGGCGGCGGACATGCTGCAGGCACGGCGCACGCACGACGCGCAGAGAAGCGCAGAGGGGGGGGGCAGGCGAGAGTCGATCTCTTCGCTCCACCTTTTTGTGGGCCCGAGATTTGCAAGAGGCCTCCTCCTCGTCGTCCTGCTCCTCCTCCTCCTCCTCCTCCTCCTCCTCCTCCTCCTCCTATCCGAGATTTGCAGGAGGCCTCCTCCTCCTCCTCCTCCTCCTCCTCCTCCTCCTCCTCCTCCTCATTGAGATTTGAGGTCTTCCCCGGCCGAGAAAACCCGGGGGGGGGGCTGGAAGGGGCGGGGGCCAGGGGGGGGGGGCCTGCCCTCTTCGAGGGTCCGTCCCCCCCCTCCCTCCCCCCCTCCCCGCACCTCCGGCGCCGCGATCCCTGTCGCAGCGTGGGCCCCCCGCGAAGCCCCGGACGCCTCCCCCATGGGGCCCTCTCTGCACCCGCCGAGCCGCACACCTCCGACAAGGCAGCCCTCCTCGTGCTCCAAGAGGCCCCGGGCAGGTCTTGCCGAGTGCAGCTCCGTGAGCCTGGAGGCGAACACGGATCGCCCACGTATGTTAAGGGGCCCTGGAACACGCAAATAAATAGACACAAATAACAGATCCCCATACTTTCCAATAGATTCTGGGTTTTCGTCTTCCCCCCCCACACTTCCCATTATTTCTTACATTTTTCTGGGAGTCGGCGATTCATTGTGTCTGCGTGTTTTTTCCCCCTCCTGAGTATGAACGCCAGCGGAGCCAGAGGCCCAGCAGCTCCATGAGCCTGCAGGCGAGCACGAATCGCATGCGTATGGACGCCAGGGGAGAGCTATGAGCGGAGAAACATAAAACACAATGTCGGCCGAGAGGATGACGACGGCAACCCGGGTCTGGGCAAACGGATATCGGTCCAAGTCCAGGCAGGGCCCCCCCGTGGCCGGAAGCAGCCCAAATCCTCCCTCTGCGACTCTTCCACGACGAGAGGGTACGTGTGGGCCGCCCCCTCCCCTCCTCCTCGGGGGCAGAGTCGGCAAGGGACGAGCCCCAGGGAGGGGCACCTCGAGACCAAAATTGCGATGCGCAACCGACAGGTCGGCGACAGGCCCCCGATCTTAGCGTTAAGTCGGGCGTGTCCCCCTACAGTCGGATGTGGAAAGAGTTGAAACAATCAAGAAATAGTAAAATATTGATCAACGAATGCGTAAACATCGTCCCCCTGGCTATGTTTGATTGTTTTCGGATATTCCTGCTGTAGAGGGACAAGCCCGACTCAACATTTGAGAATCCGCAGGGTCCTGGGCGGGGTGGCCTTTCCGGCCCCTGTCGGCTCGGCGGTCCGTGGGAGATTTTGGGATGTCGAGGCATCGCCCCCTGAGACCATCCCCCCCCCCCCGGATTTCATGGCCCAGTGGATTTTTCGCATCACGACTCCCTTAATTAGGGGGGCCACGTACGAGCCCTACATCTGCCCCCCCCCCCCCCACGATTCCCGAGGGGGAGGGCGGGGTTCACTTCGCTCGGGAGCTCCCCGAGCGAATTTGAACCCCACCCTCCCCCTCGGAAATCGTGGGGGGCAGGGGCATGGTTCGCATGCGGCCCCCTAATCGATTCCCCGGCGGCCGTTCGGGATGATCCGAGCACCCCCAGAACGCTCTCTGCGAGGCGCAGCCGCTGAAGGCACACTGGGGCATATGTTGCTCCCATCGTACTTATAAGGACCACATCCCAGACATAATTTCGGGCACCCAGAAAAGTATCGAAATGGTGTCGAAGGAGTGTCGCCTCCCAGGGCCCGACACGTGAAAACCCTCCAGCTTCGGTACTTTCCTCTTGATGCTCGAAATTATTCCTGGTGATCAAGGCTAAACTAGGTTGGAACATCATGGCCCGAGGCTGGGACACCGCCAAACACCGACGCAGACGCCCGAACACCCGAGCCGTGTCCCCGCCTAAACGCGACCCCCTGGAAGCCCCGTCTGCGCGCGCGCCGCCGAGCTCCAGGACCGCGTAGGCGTGGGCGGCCGGCGTCGGCGCCTGCTGCAGGAAGTGCGGCAGCAGGCCCTTGTACTCGGACCCCAGGGCGTCGCCCAGGAGGCTCCCGACCTCGCCCGCGCTGATGGCCGGGTGCTGCCAGAGGCGGCGCCGGCCCCGGGGCGGCTCGGGCTCGCGCTGGGAGGCCCCGCTCTGCCCCCCCCTGCCTCCTCCCCCTCCTCCTCCTCCCCCTCCTCCTCCTCCTCCTCCTCCTCCTCCTCCTCCTCCTCCTCCTCCTCCTCCTCCTCCTCCTCGCGCCGTGGGACAAGAGCACAAGCACACACGACCAGAGGCCTCTCCTGGATGGGGCCGGAGCAGACGGAGCCCGAGGATCGCGCCGCATCGGCGATGCATCGGCGGTGCATCGGCGCCGTCGGCGGTGCATCGGCGACACCGGTGAGGAGAAAGTCCGGCTCCACATCGACTCGCCATCGCTCGGACGTCCATTCCCTGTGAAATTGTTCGGTTTCGTGCGTGTTTTTTTCGCCGAATGGTCAAGGATGCTCCTCGATGGTCCTCGCCGAAGAAAAAATGCACACGTCCGAGCGATGCCAGGGGTGAGGAGAAAGTCGGGCTCCACATCGAGCCGCATCGTCGATGCATCGGCGATGCGGCGCGACCCTCCGGTCCCGTCTGCTCCGACCCCATCTAGGAGGCCTAGAACGACGGGAGGTCTTTGACCACTTTGACTATTTTCGGCCTCCGGGGAGGCCCTCAACTGGCCCCGGGGCTGTCAAAATCCGACTCCGGATGAAAAGCTGGCCTGGGTGAAGGGGTCCAGACCTCCAAGCCAAGACCCCACGCGGCGTAATTGTTTCACAGCGTCGACCCCCAGAGGCCTCGACCCATTCCCCACACCGGCTTTTCATCCTGAGTCGTTTGTGCACGCTCCCTGGACCTGATACGGTCGGACCTAAACCAGACGAGTATCCTCCAAGAACATGAGACCCTCCGCCGGCCAAAGCACCCCAAACCCTCAGATCACTCGAGGGTACCCTCCCCCAGGATGCACAAGAACGTCCAACAAACACGAAGAACATGAGGGTAACCTCCCAGAACCGACCTCGATCTTACACCTCGGTTCGACTTTAAGGGCCCCCCGATTTTAACGACTCGAAGGGGTCTGGGAGGGGCCCATGTTGTGCCAGGACACCGCGTCGGAGGTCTCGGGTCTCCGCAGCACCCCCTCCAGAGTCCAAAAGCCGTGTGGTGACAAACAGCGTGGTGACCTCGATCCCAGGAGACCTCACCGCGCGGTCCGTCACCGCAGAGTCTTGGGACGTACAAAGACATACTAATACTGTATGTTCTCCTTGGAGGCGCGCGTCCGACCCGAAAAGATAGTATATACCCATTTTGTAGTATATCGTTTCCCGAGCGTTGTGGCCAGAAAGCGCCCGCCACGACGCATACAATATAAGATTTCTCGGTGCGCGCGTCTCCCCTGGGGGGGGGCGACGCACACATAGTGTCAGTATGTTGGGGTGACGTCGAAGTCTGGGCCCTCGTCGCCCGAGACGAGACGCTCTCGGAGAAGGACCCGAGTCCCCAAACTCGCGGGGCGACCCCGAGCCCCCACAGACTCACAGCGCGGCGTGGTCACCACACCGCGTGCGGGGCCCGGGCCTCGGCCCGGGGCCCCCCCTGACAGCCTCCGGGGCTGGGCTGGGTGAAGACCGCCACGTGGGTGACGTGCTCGGGGAGCAGCACCTGAGCGGCGAAGACACGAGAGAACGGCGCACATGCTCGGCGACCCCTCCTGGACCCCCCCACCAGGCCACGCTCCACCGCGGTACGGTGCACAATCTTCTCCCTCAAGGCCGGAAACGATGCACCGTGACACTCCTCGGTCGAAAGTCGACGACGCCCCCGGAGGCTCCAACGCGGTACGGTGCACACTTTTTTGATCCGCAGGTCGAGAGCGCACCTCTTCCGGTCGAAGCTAAGCGGGCCGCGTACAGCTTGAATTAACGAGAGGGGGGCAGAAGGAGGCAATGCAGTGCACACAAGTCGGCCCCGGAGAAAAGAAGCGCGTCTTGCGAACGATCGCGTAGCGATTTTTCATCGGTGGCTTGTGCTGACCGCCAGCGCTGCACGCCACACTTGAAGCGGGGGCGCTTACGCGCGACTTCACGCGGGCAGCCTACGCGGGAACGCTCGCACAGTCCAGCCCGCTTTTCTGCGCCGCGCACCCCTTGGCGGCGCCTGCAAGGGGTGGCTCCCGCGACATGGGCTTCTAAGGAAGCGGCGCGGCTTCCAAAATGGCGGTGGGCTTCTTAGAGATACGCCTGGCTTCCGAAGAGTTGTCTTGGAAGCCCCCAGGGGCTCTTCTGCGAAGGCCCATGCCTTCTCAGGAGCCCACCCGCCGTGTCAGAACGGCAAGGCTCCCACGATGGCGGTGGGCTTCTCAGAAACGCGCCCGGCCTCCGAGAAATTGTCGTGCAAGCCCCCAGGGCCCGGGCTCCTGTGAGAAGGCGGCGGGGCTTCCGGAATGGCGGTGGGCTTCTCAGACATGCGCCCGACCTCTGAGAGAAGTCGCCCTGGAGGCCCCCAGGGGGCCCTTCTGAGAAGGCCCCCTGCTTTCTTCGGGGGCGCGCAGACATGGATCGGCGATCCATGGACTTGGCGCGCGGTCGCCAACTCCATGGATCGGGGGAGGCGCCCTCCCCCAAAACGCGGCCGGTGCCGCCTCGCTCGGCGGCGGAAATCCGCGATCTCCCATGGGTGCGGCACGCGTCGCTAATCCACGCCCCCTTATGAGCCAGGTTTGCGATAGAGGCGCCTCCCCCAAAATGCGGCCGGTGCCGCCTCGCCCGGCGGCGGAACTCCGCGATCTCCCATGGGAGCGGCACCCGTCGCGAATCCACGCCCCCTTGATCCATGTTTGCGATCGCCTGACAGTAGGAGCTCGACCACAAGAGACCTCTCACAAGAAACCCAACCCTGAGACCCCAGGGCATCCACCGATTTTTGGCGTCAGCACTTCACGCTTTCCATAGCAAGATCATCGAGAGCCAAGAAGCTGGCATGGTTTCCACTGCGTGGGGGAGGGGGGGAGGCTTCTCAGAAGCAGGCTCCTCCTCCTCCTCCTCCTCCTCCTTGTCCTGGACCCCCGCCCGAGGCCTGCCGAAGGCCCTGCTCGGCGTCCTGCCGAAGGCCCCCTGCTTTCACGAGGAGCCCACGCCCGCCTCGTCTGAAGGGCCGCCCCCCTCTCGCGCGCCGCCCCCCTGCGTGTCGGGCGCTGGCAGAACTGGGCCTCGTGGGGCCTGGTCTGGCGATGTGTGCTGGGGAGCGCCCCCCCCCCCCCCGCCTGCCCCGTTCCTAGAGGCCTCCCAGATGGGGTAGGAGTAGCTGGGGTCGGAGGATCGGGCCGCATCGCCGATACATCGGCGATGCATCGGCGATGCATCGGTGATGCACCAGCGATGCATCGTCGACAGGGGCGATGCATCGGCGACGTCGACGTGAAGCAAATCGGGCCCCACATCGAGCCGCATCGGCGATGCATCGGCGATGCGGCGCTATCCTCCGACCCAATCTACTCCGACCCCATCTGAGAGGCCTAGAGTTCCGCTAACCCGCATTGCCGTCACCCGAAAAAAACACCAGCTGCCGCAGGCCTGGTTTAGCGATTCTGGCCAATTCAGGGGCTCCGGGGCACTACCGGTTTAACCGGGTCCCCTTACCTGGGATCCTGGCTATACCCGACTGTGGGCGCCGCCGCACAGTGGGGGGGAGCAAAGCCACCTCGCCATCGCGGCTCTGCGCGCGCGCTTGTTTCGCAGGGTGGTCCAAGATGCTCCTCGATGGTCCTCGCCGTGAAACAATGCACACGCCCGAGCGATGCCAAGATACAGCCGATACCCCGCTGCCGCCGCTCCCCGGACCTCTTCTATATACACCTATATTTATATACATATATATAAATATGTGTATATATATATATATATATACATAGGGTGCGCTGCAACAAGGAGGCCGAGGCCTAAAGATGCGAACGTTGGGTAGGACGAGACAACGATGGACCTGAGGAGGGGAACGTTGGGCCAGACGAAAAAGGGCGGGGGAACCGCTCACGCAGCTGGCCTCCCCGGCGCCCCCCGCCGCAGGAGGCGCCCTCGGGTCGAGAGGAACGCGCCCGACGGCGAGGCCGAAACCCGCTGCATGCGGCAGCTTTCGTACCCCCCTTCCCTTCCCTCCCTGTCCCTCCTTTCGGGGAGACGTAAGACTCGGGTTCGGGGGACCTGGGTTGGCCTGACGGGGCCCTCATGAGAATGAGGAGGCCCAGTCCGACATGTGACGCGAGCTCTCGCTGCAAACATCCCACGAACACCAGACCGTCATAATCCAGGACGCGCATTTCAAAAAAAGCATCTTGGGCGCCCGAGTTATCCGGGATAACTCGGGTCCGGGGTAACTCGGGCTTGGATTCCCGAAAAAAGGAACCCGAGTTAGCTCTGACCCGAGTTACCCCTGATGATTCGGGGCTCTGGACGCCCGAGTTATCCGGGGTAACTCGGGTCCGGGGTAACTCGGGTTTGGATTCCAGAAACAACGAACCCGAGTTATCCCTGACCCGAGTTACCCCTGATGATTCGGGGCTCTGAGCATCGGCAAACCCGAGTTCCGGCGTGCTCGAATCTTTGCGTCCGACCCGAGTGGCCCTCGTCGGCTGGCCTTCGGCTCAGAACTCGGGCCTCTGGCGGCCGCTCGGGAGGCCTTCGGGGGCCGCGTGTCGACGAGACCGAGGCATCGCGCGCTCTCGCGGGAACAGGGCACACCGACACCGGCGAGGTCCGAGGCTCGAGGTCTTCGGGCGTCTCTGTTGGCGCCTCGGCGGCTTTTCCGGCCCCGGGACGTTCGGGCAGCCTCGCCTCGCCCAATGCCTTCGGGGGGGGGCCGGGGTCGCGACCCCGTGGGGGCAACGATAGGGGGGACTGGCATAGGGGGGGGTGCATCGACCTGGAATCGGCGACACATCGCCGATTGATCGGCGATGGGCCTCTGATAGTGAGTCCGTACCTTCCTGGGCAGGACGGGGCTATCGGGGCCCTATCGGCGATCAATGGGCGATTGGGGGTCGATGCATCCCCCCACGATGCCTATCCCCCCCTTCCGTTGCCCCTGACCCCTTTCCCTAGGGCTGGCTTGTCATCGCGAATCGTCTCGTAACGGTCCCGCGGCCCAGCGAGGGCCCGAAGAGGCCGAAAACTAGAAAGAAAACCCTCCGTCGCGACTCGTTTCAAGACGCGATGGGGGGAGTTTTCGGGCTATAATTCGGGCCTCCTGCGGCATTTCGGGGCGGAGCCTCCGGTGGCACTTCGGGGCGATCCAGTCATCCTCGGAACGCTGTCAGCGAGGCGCAGCCGCTGGAGAGCACCCAGAAGCTGGAAAACCGATGGGAGTCGACGAAAACGTCCGAAAACGCCAAGACGTTGCATATCTTGGCCCCTGCGTGCCGTCGCGATGACCAGGCCGCTCACGCCCTTGAGCGCGTCCACCAGGCGCAGCGCCACGGCGCTGGACCAGTCCCCAGCGGCCAGCGGGCGCGGCACCTCTCGGGGAACTTGTGCGACAAGGCCCAGGGAAACACAAACATCAAACATCGACACAACTCCCGAGTTTACCCACATTTCATAATATCTCCTGGTGTATCCTTTTCCCCTCCATCTACTACCAGTCCACGACTGTTACATCGTGGGCCCTGATCAATGTGTGCTCCTAGCAACCAATAGTGTGCAACGTATGTGGTAATCCAAGTCGTGCAATTGTTACATGTGAGTTTTTGCAAACATCCCACTCACCTGCCCGCAACTTGATTTGCAAAACCCATGCGGCGGGGATTACGATGAGTGTTTGGCGTTGGCTGGTGCATCTCTGTAGCTGCGCTAACCCGCACATGCTCGCGCGCACTGCGGCGAGCTAGCTTGGCGGGCCCGACGCGGCCGCGGTGGCGCTGACCGCTGGGTATTTCTCAGCGGGCACTTCAGTGCGAATCGGTGACTTCGGCGGGCGCGGTATCATGGCGACGCCGACAACGGTGGACACGATTATGGAGAGTAGCGATGATGGTGGCGATGGTGGCGCTGACGACGGCAAGGCCAATGACGGCGCCGATGTCGATCACGCCCGCCGACAACGATGACGATGTCCTCGCGTCGGCGGTGAAAGTCTTTGAACGAGTTTGACATGCGTGCGCGGCCGACGCGCGGGGTGGTCCGCGTGGGAGGTCTGGACTCCTTTGCCAGGACCGAGCTTCCTCCCCTGACCGACCTCGGCCCAGCGCCCCCACAGCGCGTCCACCTGAGGGGCGACGATCGGGGGGGACTGGCTCGGGGAGGGAACGTCGAGCAGGAATCGGCGACACATTGCCGATAGATCGTCGACAGGCCCCCGATGGCGACTCGGCAGGCTCCTGGGCGGCCGGGCGTCGCGACCCTGTCGGCGATGCCTGGGCCACTGGGGGCCCCGAGCGTCCCCCCCCGAGCCCCTGACCCCCCCCCTGACGCTGCCCCTGGACCACCGCGAGCCCCGACAGCACGCCCGCCGCCCCTGCCGTGGCCGCTGCGCCGGCCACGTGCAGCGCGCAGCCCGCCGCCGCCGAGCCCGGCAGCGCCGCGGCGGCGGGGGGGCCCGCGAGGCAGAAGACGGCCGCGCCCGCGCCGGCCACCGCGCAGTTGCGGCTCGCCCTGCGCGGTCGGGGCGCGGAGGGGCTCACGAAAGGATTCCCCGCTCGGGTGGGCGGCGCGCGCGGAAGGGCCGCCGAGAGAAGCCGCCGGGTCCCGCCAGAGAGAAGAGCGGCAGCCACCGGCACGCAGAGGCGACGGAGGGACGGCGACGGCGAAGACGAGCGGGGCAGGCGAACGAGCGCAGCGACGGCGGGCGACGACGGCGGTGGCGGCAGCCACGCGAGCTATAGCCGACCGGCCGCCGGCACTCGGGGCACAGCTCAGATCCTGCACCAGGTCGCCGGGATCGGATACGCGCGCGGCCAGGGCGCGCGGACGGCGTGGACGGCATGAGTCACATGATCGTGAGCATGGGAGCATGGGCCGAGGAGGGGGGCCGGGAGGGAGGGGAGATCAGAGGATGACAGCGTACCAGTGCCGCTGCGCTGCCTTCTTCGGCCCAGCTGGACTCGCCTCGACTGCCTGTTTCCCTATACGAGGGCGCGAGGGGCGCGATTTCGCGGCTGTGGGTCGTGGGCCGCCAAGGAAAAGCCGTTTGCAGCAACCATGTGCCCCTTCGAAGGCGCTCCACGAGGAGCCGCAGGACGCGGGCTTCACTCGTGGCCGTCGGTCGTTCTCGCCGTCATCGCCGCTGCCGTCCTCGCCGTCGCCGCTGTCGCTGTCGCCGTCGCTGTCGTCGCACTGGGCTGACGCACGTCCTGAGGATCACCCGGCGGGGGGCGGGCTGCGGGGGGCGGGCTGCGGGAGGCGTCGGGGGGCGACGTGCGCACCCCCCCCGACTCCACGCAAAAAAGGGGGCCCCGAGCGGTGTGATCTGCACCCCGAGCGGCGACGCGGCACGGCCGAGCGCCACCGGCCTGGAGCCCGACCGACCGACCGCAGCCGTGCACCAGCCCCTTCGGCCCCGTGCCCGCACTTCGACCCCCCCCTTCCCAGAGGAGCACACACACACACACACACACTCAGAAGCACGGTGTCTCAGAAGCCCGCGCCAGCCACAGCGAAACTCCGCAACGTCGCAGCTGAGCTCTGATCCCTTCCCCGCCAGGGGGGGGGGGCCCGGGGTCGGGGCCCTCGTCGTCCCCGTCGTCGCCGTCTTCAGGGTCGGCGGCACCGGCCGTCAGGCCTTCGCAACAAACATGGTCTCCCAGAAGTCCGCGCGTGTCTCTGGGATCGGCGCTGCACACACACCCTCCTGTGGCAACTCCCAGCCGACGCCACCTGTCGACGCCTCTGATCTCACACTGTATTGCATCAGCATCAGATCGCTGAATGCACACAATGACGAACTGTCCGCTCGCCTCCTCTTATTTCCTTTGCTCCCCCATGCTGCTTGCTTCACTGAGACGTGGTTTGACGCGTTTCCCCTTGCGCGCGGAGCGAGGGCGGCGCTGGAGGCGCCGCCAGGGGGACCCGCCGCCGATCCCAGCAATCCGTGCGGACCTCAGATACACGATGTGTGTGCCGCATGCTGTCCTTCGAGTTCCCTCGTCCGTGGTCCTTGCAACCGCCTCCCTCCTCCTGCCCCTCCCCCCCGCCCCCACAGAATTGCTCGACGCGGGTAATGAAGACTAGTCTCCTCTCTACCCTGGCAATTTGCCAGCGAACTCCTGCCACTCTCTTGTATGTTAAATTCCCCTCCTCCGCCTTCCGCTGATCCTGATGCTCCTCCTGTTCCGCTTCCTCCTGCTGCTGCTGCTGCTGCTCCTCCTCCTCCTCTGCCTCCGCAATCTTCTTGATCGTCCTGCTCCTCCCCGCCCCCCTGCTCATCCGCCGCCTGCTACTCTCCGTCGTCAGATGCTCCAAAAGGCAATGTCGCGGACTGCGCAGCACCTGCTGGATCAGATCCTGCTACGGCCATGCGGACGTCGAGGCCCACTGGGCTACCCCAGCCGGCGGATAGACAAGACTTCCAGCACAGTGGACGGGTTAGGTGGGATGTATAGAATGTCAGACGTGGCGCGAGCGTGCCCAGCTTGCTCCTTGTCCCCCGTCTGCCCGTTCCTCTGCCCCCCCCGACTGAAAGTGTGCGGGGGAAGGAGGCATGCATGGGGAGGAAAAAATGGGGGAAGGGAACTGCACGACCTGGCCATCGCTCGGACGTCCATTCCCTGTGCTGTTTTCGGTTTCGTGAGTGTTTTTTTTTTCGCAGGATGATCCAGGATGCTCCCCAATGATCCCCGCCGAGAAAAAGTGCACACGTCCGAGCGATACCAAGCGACAGACGAGGGAGGGGGCGGCGGGGAAGGGTTGCGAGGGCCTCGGCGGCGGCGGCGACCACTGCAACGGATCCAACTGTTACGACGAGAGGCCCAGAAAGGTCGAGAAGCGTCCAAGTCCTCCTCCCTCGTGCTCCTTTTCCTCGCCTCTTCCTCCACGTCCTCCCCCCCCACTCCTGCTCCTGAATCTCCTCATCCCTCCCTTCTCACTCCCAAACCCTAATGGAAACTGTTGTCGTCGCCAGCTGTCCCGCTCAAAATCAAGCCTGGACCTCTCCCAGGATCAGTCCTGAACTTTTATGTGCTGCCAGCCGTAGCTAAGAGATCTTCCAAGGAAATCATCCGGAATGACAACAACGGAAGGCAGGGACGACGCCCGAAAGCGAATGTCGTTCTAAACCGACAGCGGCCGTTGATGGGCAGTCGTCGCAATTGTCATGAGCGGAAAACGCTACTGGCGACACAGGACCACGACCAGACCCTGACCCGACCCAAATATTTGAGCAGGGACGACATTCCCGGCATTCCGATGGGCCTACCACGAAACGTTCGTGGAACCCAAAAATGCTCTAAGAACAAATGCAATGTTCTTAGAATCTACGCCCGATGTGTTAAATCAAGAAAGTCTCAGTCAGAAATGTTCTTAGAATATTTCGTGCGAGCCATAAAAGGATCTTGGAATATTATTTGGTGGGCCGATGGGCAAGCCAGGACGCTTCGCAACTGCTCGAGATAACTTAAAGAAGGTGCGGGTGCCGTCCCCCTCTGTGCCGCCTCCGCTTCGGTCGTCGACGTCGACGGCGCAGGCCCGTCGACGCCGTCGCCGTGGTGGTCGACTGCCGACCGCCGCTATCGGCCCTCACGTCGAGAACGTCGTCGACCTTCGACGTCGTCGCCGTCGTCGAGGTGGTCGTTCGCCGACCGTCGACGTCGACCTTCGACGTCGTCGTCGACCTTCGACGTCGACGTCGCCCTTCGACGTCGTCGTCGCCGCCGGCGGGCCGCCGCACCGAGGCCTGCGGGCCGCCAGGGCCCCGCGCTCCCGCCGTCCCAGGCAGCAGTGGCCGGCGCCCAGGGCATGGCCTGCCGCGCGGGGGGTTCGGCGGCGGGCGCGCGCGCGCGCTGCCGTCGTCGCCGTCGCTCTCGCCGTTCCCGTCCGCGCCCTGGCCCCGGTCGGCGATCGTCACCTTCGCTGCCGTTGTCGACCTGGTCCTCGCCTCGTCGTCTCGTCCTCGTCACCGTCCTCGTCGTCCTTGTCTCGTCCCCCGCGTTGCCTCTGTTGCCACCGTCACCGCGCCCGTCGCTGTCCTCGTCGCCGCCCTCATCGTTGCCGCCGTCGCCTAGTCGTCCCTCTCTAGCTTCCACCTGACAAGTCAGTCGCGCACCCTCGCCCTTCGTTCCACGTGCTGGCAGATCCAAGTGAGCACTGACAGGCTGAGATCAACCAGCATGTGGCGGGTACCGGATGAGCTCGGAGGTATCCCGAGACATACGAAGAGCAGAATTCCGAGGGTGGAACATGAAGCGTGTGCAGACTGGGAACGCACCGTCAAAACATGAACCTCTTCTAGTTGCAGCGCAAGTCGACGCGCGCATACGGGAAGCATGGGGGAAGACGAGATTGGACAGGACAAGCGCCGACACCGCTCCACGCGCATGCGGTGAATGACCGCCTCATGCGAAGACGGCGGTGGGGCAGCAACCCCTCACTGGTGAATAATCTCGGCCCGAAACCGTCCCCGACCGTGCAAACGTCGCTTCGCAACTTTCTCGGTGGGTTCCAGGTACCAATTCCGAGTAGAAAGTTTTTATTTGCCAGGAATACCAGCCGTGAATTTGTGCCCACTATATTTTACTTTTGCGTTGACTATGAACCCAACTGTGATGACCTGCGTTTGCAAATTCCCATTGGGAAATACGAGGTGGGGGAGGCATGGAAGGAAATGTGCAGGGCGAGGAAGGGGGGCTCCACATCAAATGTGCAACCAGTGGGGAGCACTCTCGGAAACAGCCTTCTCTGGAGGTCGAGAACATGGTGTTGGCCAGCGTGGACCCCACACAGCGTGCTTCTAGCACCCCATGCTGTGCAATCTATGTGAAACAGCACATGTTTCCTAAAACCGTGCTTGCACTGTTATGGGGCTCTTACTTGTCTGGTCTGGCAGCTGGTCTTCGCCGTCGCCGCCACGTCGCCGCCTCGTCGTCGCCCATTGTCTGGGCCTGCGCGCAGGTCTGGCAGCTGTGTCTTCTACGTCGCCGCCCAGTCGCCGCCTCATGGCGCCCGTCGTTTGGGCCTGCGTGCCGGACTGGCGGCTCTGTCGTCGCCGTCGCCGCCCGTCGCCGCTTCGTCCCCGCCCGTCGTCTGGGCCTGCGTGCCGGTGTAGCGTCTATGTCGCCCCGTCGCCACCCGACGATTCTTCGTTCTAAAAGGGAATTAACAGCTCCCCCCCCCTTGGGATAATTTCCCCATGGGGATGTGCAGATTCTGCCCCATCGTTCGTTTTGAACATGGATTCGTACGATCCTAACCAAACTGGTCCCCCCTTAATCCCTGGCAGAATATACTATGCGCGCACACCCGTTCATCACAAATTATCAGTTTCTCACGCCCTTGCAACGACTGTGGCCATGTCCACGCGAATGCGCGTCGCTGCGCGCACATGACAGAAGCCGTCGAAAACAACATGGGTTTCGAAGAATTTGAAAACCGAATATCCCGAACACACAACACAAGTAACTGGTTCCGCAAAATTAACCCCCAGGACAAATCAACGCGCGTTTTTGCGCACTATATTTTGGCATCCAAAACGCACAAACACGCACGCACAAAACAATAGGGTTTCAACTTGTTCATCCAATTAAACCAAATAGGTTCTTCGCGCGCGCGTGTCGGGATCATTCGAGAAAAAAACGATTGTTTGTTTAAGAATTCGCAAGAACGCGCACGTTTGCTTGAAATTCCGTGTTGCGGAACCCTGTGAGTTTATATAGTTGTTGGACAATCGATTTTGAAATCCTTCCGAAACCAAGCGTTTGTTTCAAGGATTTCGGCATGCGCGCGCGAAGACGCGCGCGTGTGCATTTCGTCTCACTTTGTTGCCAGGGGTTCTTCAAAACTTATGATTTGTTATAAACGAATGCGCGCGTATGAAATTATTTGCAAAGGATGGCGAGGGGGACGATACCGGGCCCCCTGGGATGGTGCAAATTCATATTTCGGATGGGCGATGGGGCAAAACCATCTGTAAATTGCAATACGAAAGAGTGAATATTTAACCCCGGGGGGGGAGGGTTGGCAGAACCTATCTCATTTTCAAAAAGGAGAGTGAACGTCTGTCCACTGTGACATGTGACCTCCACTGCTCGCGCAACCATCCCACTCGGCCACCCATAACTTGGATTGCAAAACCCATGCGGCGGCGACTGCGATGAGTGCTTGGTGGTGGCTTGTGCATCTCTGCGGCCGCGGGCTAGCCCGCGCATGCTCGCGCGCGAAGCGGCCAGCTACTTTGGCGCGACCAACGCGGCCGCGGTGGCGCTGACCGCTGGACACTTCCCAGCGGGCACTCCCATGCGAGTCGGCGACTTGGGCGGGCGCGGTAGCATGGCAACGTCAAAGACGGTAGACACGACGATGCTGGTAGCGATGCTGGTGGCGAGGATGACAGCGGTGACGGCAAGGCCAGTGACGGCGCCGGTGCGGATCACACCGACGACGATGACGGCGTCCTCGCCTCGGCGATGAGCGTCTTGGAGGGAATTCGACATGCGCGCGCGCGGCCGACGGACACGACTGGCCCGCATGGAACCACTAGACACGGATAGTGCCCTCCCCAACACGCGCGCGAGGGCGTTCGAATGAGTTAGACATGCGGCGCGAAAGGCCCGCTTGGCCGAAACGAATAACAATATTTTAACAATGTGGTATTCTTACGAATGCGCAGATGCGCGAGCGCAGGTTTTTTTTGGGCGGGGACGGGGGGGAATTCCTGCGAAAGCACCTGCTGTTTATGTGTTCGGGGCATTCGGTGTTACAAACCCTGCGACACCTCAGGTTTATGAGCGATTTCGGCATGCCCGCGCGACGACGCGCGCGCACTTCGTCCTATTTCTCCTAAAAGAATCTCGAACACTGATGACTTGTCATAAACGACTGCGCTCGCATAGTATTTCCTAACCATCCAATGGTGTTGGGTCCTCGTTTTGAAGAGACAGTGCCCCGCGTATCCTCTCCTCTCCTCTCCTCCTCCACCCTCCCCCTCCTCCATCTTCCAATCCGCCTCGTCATCGTCATCGTCATCATCGCCATCGTCATGATTCACATCATCATGATCATCACCATCGCCATCGTCAGCACCGCGCCCCTCACGCGATTCGTGGCGCCACAGGGAGCTCCACCGAAGACCAAAGTGGCAGCGGTTGCACGCGTCACCTCCGCCCCGAACTGGTTGGTGGGACGCCCTAGCTCTGGAGTAGACCCACTAAAAGAAATGGCTACTCAACATATGGAAACATATGCGGTGCCGCGTGTTAGTTTACCGCATCAAGCGGCAAAATTGAAAACATGATCAGTAGCAGCCCCAGCGGCACACCCGTGAAAAAGGTGCCCGTGAAAACGGCGCTGGGTGGAAAACGCGGTGCCCCCACGCCCCAGCTGGCAAAAACTCCCCAGAACGACAATCAACAGAAACCCGCAACGGCCTAAGCGCCGCAGTGGCCGGCACCCACGGAGCCCGTCCAACAACCACGCAGAGAGAGGACTTTTACGACGTTTCCACTCGTCACCGAGTCGTTGCCTCAATCCGCAGTGGAGCCGTAGGGGTGATCCTAGGGGCGACCGCCGCGACCCGTCGACCATTGCGGTCCCTGCCGACGGCCACTCCAAAGAGCCTGGCAGCGGCAGCGGGTGGCGGTGCGAAGTCGTGCCTCTACCGTCGCGTCGATGGGCACTCTGATGATGCCGCTTTGTAAAGCCGCTCATTGGCGACAGGTCACTCTTATAGGTCGTCAGAAGACGACGCATGGTGCCGCGTAGTGCCTACTAGGTTCGCCTCGGCTGCGGGAACGGCCGACCCGTTGACCCCGAGCAGCGTGTTCAGGGACAGCTGCAGGAGGGTGTAGGCTTCGTGGCCCCATAGGGAGCTCCACCGAAGACCTCAGCGGGACCGTCCGCATGGCACCGCCGCCCCATTTCGGCACACCCCTCACACAGTTCGTGGCCCCATGGGGAGCTCCACCGAAGGCCCAGCGGAGCGTCCACATGGCACCGCCGCCTCATTTTGGCACACCCCTCACACGGGTCGTGGCCTCATAAGGAGCTCCACCGAGGGCCTCAGCGGCAGGGTCCGCATGGCACCGCCGCCCCATTTTGGCACACCCCTCAAGGTTCGTGGCCCCATTGGGAGCCCCACCGAAGACCCAAGCGGGAACGTCCGCATGGCACCGTCGCCTCATTTCGGCACACCCCTCACACGGTTCGTGGCTCCATGGGGAGCTCCACCGAAGGCCCCAGCGGGAACGTCCACATGGCACCGCCGCCCCATTTGGCACACCCCTCACACGGGTCGTGGTCTCATAAGGAGCTCCACCGAAGGCCCCAGCGGGAGGGTCCGCATGGCACCGCCGCCTCATTTGGACACACCCCTCACTATGGGAGTTCCACCGAAGGCCCCAGCGGGAACGTCCACATGGCACCGCCGCTCCATTTGGGACACCGTTCAAAACGGTTCGTGGCCCCAAAGGGAGCTCCACCGAAGGCCCCAGCGGGAGGGTCCGCATGGCACCGCCGCCTCATTTCGGCACACCCATCACACGGTTCGTGGCCCCATGGGGAGCTTCACCGAAGGCCCCAGCGGGAGCGTCCGCATGGCACCGCGGCCCCATTTGGGACACCGTTCAAACGGTTCGTGGCCCAATAGGGAGCTCCACCGAAGACCCCAGCGGGAACGTCCGCACGGCACCGCCGCTCCATTTGGGACACCGTTCAAAACGGTTCGTGGCCCCATGGGGAGCTCCACCGAAGGCCCCAGCGGGAGCGTCCGCATGGCACCGCCGCCCCATTTTGGCACACCCCTCACACGGTTCGTGGCCCCATTGGGAGCTCCACCTAGGGCCTCAGCGTGAGCGTCCGCATGGCACCGCCGCTCCATTTTGGCACACCCCTCACAAGGTTCGTGGCCCCCATAGGGAGTTCCACCGAAGGCCCCAGCGGGAGCGTCCGCATGGCACCGCTGCCCCATTTCGACGCACCCCTCACACGGTTCGTGGCCCCAGAGGGAGCTCCACTGAAGGCCCCAGCTGGAGCGTCCGCATGGCACTGGCCGCGCACAGGGCTCGGGCGAAACCACGAAGACTCCCCACTCGCCCGGGTCAGCTTTTCTCCCCCTCATGAACGCCGCAGTCCTCTTTGCTGCACCCCGTCCTTCGCCTACTATCCCTCGCGGTACTGGGTCCTTCGTCAGGCTAATTTTTCAGAAGGTGAGGGGGGGCGATACCGGTCGAGCTGGAGCAATCCGAATCCATTTTTCGGATGGACGAATGTGCACAATAAAAATGGCAATGCAATACGCGAAGGGGTACTGTGAAGTCCGGGGGGAGAGGGGTAGTCCGTCCCTTCTTGAAAGAAGAATATTTTCTGTGTACTCTGTGTGGCGCCACCCTGCCGCTGGGCACGGAGCGGGCGCCCTCCTCAAGCCTCAATCCTCGGAGCTGGAGAATCTCCCGGGGCCTCCCGCGTGACGCCCGGGGCTTCCCGCGTGCCCCCTGGGGGTTCCCGCAGGCCCCCTGGGCTCAGGGGGGAGGGGAGAGAAGGAAGTGGACGGGAAAGGGGGGGATAGGGAGACAAGAGAGGGTGTGGGGGGGAGACATTCCGAACCTGACCCTCCCCTCCCCCCTCCCTCTCTTCCGCCACCCCCCTGCCCTCTCCTTCCCCTCCCTTCCCCCCCCCGGAGATCCGATGCCGCAAACAGAAGGCAACATCTAGAAGAATCATCACAGGAGCCTCGGACCCTCTCTTTCTGGTGCGCTCTTCGAGCTGGAGCGCGGCCTGCGATGGCCCCGGGGCCAGGCGCTGGGCGGGCGAACACGCCCGGTGCGACAACAAGCGCGACGCCGGGATCTCGGGGCCCTGGCCTCGCCCCGTGCTCCCGTCGCTCCCGCCCCCCCGCCTGGCCGTCAGGAGGGGGGGGGGAGAGGACGGCACGGGGCGGAGGGCGGAGGGAGGGGCCCGGGAGGGGAGGGCACTGGGGCCAGGGGGGAGCGCGGAGGGAGGGGCCTCGGAGGGCGCGCGGGAGCGCCAGGAGCGCGGAGGGGAGGGGCCCCGGAGGGCGCGCGGGAGTGCCAAGAGCGCGCGGGGAGGGGGGCCTAGGATGGGCACCGCCTCCGGCACCTCCGACAACACCCGCACGGCATCCCTGGCCAGCTCGCCAGGCCTACCGCCGCCGCCGCGCTGGGGGTGGGCGACTGCGATCCTCCACGCCGTGCCGATGCTGCTGTGCTGCTGCTGCTGCTGTCCCTCCTCCTCCTCCTCCTCCTCCTCCTCCTCCTCCTCCTCCTCCTCCTCCCGCTGCAGCTGCTGTTCCTCCTCCGCCTCCTCTTCATCCCGCCTCCTCCGTACCATCGTCGTTGCTTCGCTGCTGCGCTTGCTCGCTCCACCGCCACCTTTCCTCTTTCCCCTCTTCCTCCCGCGTCATCATGGTCAGCCTGATACTTTTGTCTCGTCCCCATCTTTCTTGCAACTGCCTCTTCATCGTGCTTGACCTCCTCATCCTCTTCCTCGTCCTCATCCTCGTCCTCGTCGTTGTCGCCGTCGTCCTCCTCCTCCTCCTTCTCCTCCTCGTCCTCTTCCTCACCGTCCTCATCGTCCTCACCGTCCATCGTCGTCTACCTCCTTCTCCTTTTTGTCCGTGTCCCACCCCTTGATGGTCCTCCTGCCACCCGTGTTACTACTCCTCCCTCCTCATACCCTCCTCCTCCTCTCATCCTCCTGCCTCCCCCCAAGCTGCCTCCTCCCTCGGAAATCGCCCTTCGGACCTGTCTTGGGACGCGTTCCGACCACAATTTCGAGGTGAATCCAGCCGTGGCGACGAGGAGCTCCGTGGAGGCCCGCAAGGGGGACGGGGAGCAACAAACAACCTTGATCTTCGATCCTCCCTCCTCCTCCTCCTCCGCCTCCTCCTCCCCCTCCTCCTCCCCTACCTTCTCCTCCTCCTCAGACTGCCAGGAGCCGACGGCGCCGTAGCCTCGGGTTCGAGCCCTCTCGGGGCCGAATGGTGCCATCCAAGGGCCATCCGAAAAATCCATGTGGGTCTCGGAGGACCATGGATACGACGGGAACAGGGACGAGATGAGGACCCCCGATCCGGTGGGTTGCAGCAATTTGCAGACCTCCTCCCTTCTCGTTCTCCTCGTCCTCCTCGCCCTCCTCGCCCTCCTCGTCCTCTCTCGCCCTCCCTCATCCTCGATCCTCTCTCCATCCCCCTCCCTCCTGTCTACTCCCTGCTTCCGTCCTCCTCCTTCTCGCTACTCGCTAGCTGTATACGTTGTGTAGTCTATGGGGAGCAGCATGTGTGGTACAACATATGATGTGCAATACATGTCGTGCAACCTATGTTGTGCACTGAGAGTGGTGCGAGCTATGAGGTACAACCTATGTTGTACAATACAGATGTACACACATATGTATGCATATGTTGATCAATATGTGTGGTGCCATCTATGTGGTGCAAACTACGTTGAGCACTCGTTAATGCGCGACCTATGTTGTGCAACGGTTGTGGTACAATCGTTGTGGTGCAAGCTATGTGGACCAATCCATAACCGCATGCCGAGGATAATAAAGTACCCCCCCTTAAGTCGTTAGAGATTTTTATCGTCGGCCTAGAAGGGTTTCAAATATAGGCGGAGGGCGCGGAGGCCGAACTTCATTAGCACTGGGAAAGTTCGCCATCGAGGTTACTTCCTTCTCATGATGAGACAACAACATCAAGCGAAGCGAACACGTTTTTTTCAGGCTGTCTCAAGCGACACCAATAATTTTGGGAGGCAGCCTAAAACAAAACGATCAATATTTCAAGGATGTCTCAAGCGGAACCAGCAATTATTTGAGGATGTTTCAAGCGAAGCGAAAACTTGTCGAGGATGTCTCAAGCGAAACAAGCATATACTCAAGATGTCTCAAGCGAAATGAGAGATTTGTCGAGGATGTTTCTCTCTCTCTCTCTCTCTGTCTCTCTCTCTCTCTGTCTTTCTTTCTCCTCCTCCCTCTGGCGCCCTGAACGTGTTTATCGCTGGGGTTGACTATCCTGAAAATTCTAAGTTTCATTAAGCGTTTACACATTAAATCTAACAAGTTTTCAACTTTGGATGTTTGCTTCTACCTCCTGCTCTGCTTCTCCTGCTCTTCCTCCTTCTCATCCTTCTCCTCTTCCTTTTCTTCTTTCTTTATAGTTCTCTTTCTATTTCTTTTTCTTCTTGTCTCCCTGGCCCCGTGAACTTGTTTATTGCTGGGGTTGATTACCCTGGGAAAACTAAGCACATGAGCTCCCCTCCACGATCAGATGACAATTTTAAGTGTCATTACGCGTTTACGTATTGAATATGAAAAGTTTTGAACTTTGGATGTTTGCTTCCTCGTTCTTCTCTCCTCCTCTTGCTCTTTCTCCTCCTTCTCATCCTCTTCCTCCTCTTCCTCCTCTACCTCCTCTTCCTCTTGTTCTCTTCTTAGTTCTTTTTCTTCTCGTCTCACTGCCCCACTGAACTTGTTTATCGCTGGGGTTGATTATCCGGGGAAAACTAAGCACATGAGCTATCATTAAGCGTTTGCAAATTTAAATGTAAGAAGTTTTGAACTTTGGATGTTTGTTTCCTCCTTGTTCTCTCCTCCTCTCGCTCTTTCTCCTCTTCCTCATCCTCTTCCTCCTCTTCATCCTATGCCTCCCCTTCCTCTTCTTCTCTTTCTATATTTCTATTTAACTCTCTGTATTTCTTCTCCTTCCCCCTCGGGCATACCCCTCGGGCATGCCCCTAGGGCTTACCCCTAGGCCTACCCCTAGGGCCTACCCCTAGGCCTACCCTAGGCCTACACGCCTAGGCCCATCCCTAGGCCTACCCTAGGCCTACCCTTAGAGCCTACCCCTAGGCCTACCCCAGGCCTACCCCTAGGGCCTTCCTCTTGATATCTCTTTATCTTGATATCTCTTTATGCTGGCTCTGGCGGGCAACTTTTATTATCTCCCCAAAACCCCGAACTTTATTATCCCTGTGTGTTTATTATCCGCGGCATGCGGTTACGGATCAAACCATGTTGTGCAACAGATGTTCTGCATTATATGCTGCGCAGTCTGAGTAATGCAAAATACGTAGCACCCCGCAATTGCGGATAAGAATGAGGAGGCGGGCGCGGGGTGGGTCGCGGGTGGGTCGCGGGTGGGTCGTGGGGTGTTTCACGGGTGGGTCGCGGGTGGGTCGCGGGGTGGGTCGTGGGTGGGTCGTGGGTGGGTCGAGCGGGTGGGTCGAGCGGGTGGGTCGCGGGGTGGGTCGCGGGTGGGTCGCGGGGTGGGTCGCGGGGGTGGGTCGCGGGTGGGTCGCGGGCGGGTCGCGGAGCGGGGGGGGGGACGACGCAACAAAACAACAACAAGAATCCTCGCCGTGGATCCCCATTTCAGCCACGCACCCGGGACAGTAAATGACCGTTCGGGCCCCCTCACTCTGACAATTTGTGAAACTTTGGCGCCTGTGGCGGGCTTCTCCAGAGTCTCGCAAACTGCCGACGTCCCCACCGCCCCCTCACTCTTATCCGCATCTGCGGGTTGCTACGTGTATATATCTATATATGTATGTATATATATATATATATATATATGTATATATATATATAAATTTATATTACAACATCTGAGGTTGCCCCCCCCACCTGGAAATCGTTCGGTTTCGTGTTCGTGTCGTGCTTGTTGGGCGAGGCGAAGTTGCATGGACGCGCCCCGCCCTTGCCAGGGCGATTCGGATGCAGTGGACCGCCCCTCCGCCCCAGTGGCCCGAGGTGTCTCGCCGTGGTGTTCTGAGGTGTCCTGGTGGTGTCCCGTCGGTGTTCCGTCGCCGGTGGGCGGGCGGTGGTCTGGGGTGTTCCGCCTTGGTATCGTTAGTGAAGTCGATAGTGAGATCGATCATGAGATCGCTAGAATGAGATGGATAGTGAGATCAAAAGTGAGATCGACAGTGACATCGATATAGGAATCGATAGTGAGATCGAAAGAGAGACAAGAACGATAGTGGCATTACATCGCAGCGCCAAATCGTCATCACGCGTCTTTGCTAACTCGAGGGTGCGTCACAAGCATCGTCATTATCACACCCATCGCATTTGCCAGAAGTTGGCTCTTTCCCCCTAACCCCCAAAATATCCTTGTCACCCGAAGGGTGGTCGTATAGGTAGAATTCATTATATTCGTTGCACAAAGCACCCCGCAATTGCGGATAAGAGTGAGGGGGCGGGCGCGGGGTGGGTCGTGGGTGGGTCGCGGGTGGGTCGTGGGGTGGGTCGCGGGTGGGTCGCGGGTGGGTCGCGAGGTGGGTCGTGGGTGGGTCGCAGGTGGGTCGCGCGGGTGGGTCGCGGGGTGGGTCGCGGGTGGGTCGCTGGGTGGATCGCGGGCGGGTCGCGACCTATACAGTGCAGTTCCTCAGAACAGAAGTAAGAGCCCCTAAGTGCAAGCACTGTTTGGTGAACAAAGAGCTCCTTCCTGTCGCTCCCCGAGACGTGTCGGTAGGGCGAGCCGGGCGATTCGCCTAGAAATTTAGAACTTGCTTAACATGACCACGATTATCAAATAACACATGTGTTCTCGCTCTAGCGCCGCGTACATTCGTCTTTAAACTATCCGGGCGAAGGACCCAAACATGTAGGATGCGAGTGCCGCAATGCAGGTGAGACGAAGGAGGGGCGTGTCCCTATGGGGACACGAAACATGTGAGGTGTGTGTGTGTGTGTGTGTGCCGAAATCGGCGCGGAGCCGCCATGCAGACCCTGCCGCTGGGGCCTTCGGTGGAGCACCTCATGGAGCCACGAAACGCGTGAGGGGTGTGCCTGCACGGGTGCAGGGACCCTGCCGCTGGGGCCTTCGGTGGAGCTCCCCTGTGGGGCACGACATGTTTGAGGGGTGTGTGCCGGTACGCCATGCGGACGTTGCCGCTGGGGCCTTCGGTGAAGCCCCCTTTGGGGCCGCGGAACGTGTGAGTGGTGTGCCGAATCGGGTGCGGGTACGCCATTCGGCCGAACTAATGCGACGCCGCCATGCGGACCACCCCCCCAGTGGGGCCTTGGGCGGAGCTCCCTATGACCACGAACCACGTGAGGGGTGTGCCGAAATGGGGCGGGGCCGCCATGAGGACCCTCCCGCTGGGGCCTTGGCTTCATCTCTCTATGGTGCAACGAACC